ATGTGCAAATTGTACAAATTTACAAATGTTCGCAATATTTTCTCGTTGTAAGTGTGCGTTTATACGTGATTCAGTGCGATATGTGGGGCGTATACACGGCCGCGCTATTAGCGCAGCGTACAACCGTCAATTGAGTGCTCCACATACAAATTTGTAGATATGTATGTGTACATTTTGCTTTATTTGGCTTATTTCCATCATTTTTTTTTTTGAGGAAATCACCAACTTAATCAATGAAATCGTCATCAGCGGACGGCGCAGGCGGCGGCACTATGCCATGCTGTGCGGCGCGACCGCACCATTTTGGCAGCGCCCGTCTGAAGTTAGAAGCTGCGGACACCAACGCGCTGCCGTGACTTCCATAAAAAAAGAAATACATATGTGTAGATACATATATTTTCAATGCTTTCATGTGTTTTATTTGTTTGTTTTTTTTTGGTTTTATGCTACACGCTTTAAGTTTTTAATGCTTGTATCTGCTGCTCTTTTGCTTTGCTTTTTATTGCGCGTTGCGGTCAGCATAAAATGTGGTGCCTAGCAACACAGCGCCGAAACGGTGTAAGCGTGCATGCAACTACACTGCTATATACCAAAATATATAAGCGTATCGCGCATACAAATTTTAACCCTATAAAAAGAGAAACTAATTAAAAAGTTAAAAATTTCAGATTTCAACACTATTTACTTATGTTTCTATATATGTGTAGACTAGCGTTCACTCAAGCAATTGTCGTGATGTTTTTACTACTAAAACGCCCTATGCTATTCACATAAGAGAGCGCTACTAGATAGACATAGCATATATGTACAACCCACAACAAACGCCTTGCCTACAACAAACTACGCGCAATTACCCGTTTTGCATACAGTCACATTAAGCGAGCACTTGTATGTACATATGTATGCGTGGCACTATGCATCCGCACATACTACTACTACGCGCCTACACACAAGCGCAACCATGCCACAAACATTTCAAGTTTTACGTTGGCAAATTCTGTGAATGATTTTTCGCGCCAATTTCTGTACGTGCCCTGAGCGCTGCGACACCCCACCAACGCCCTTGCAATGCACGCCAACTATTGCACGCACACTAACTACTATACACACACAACACATTTACATAGTGTGTGTTCACATATGCAAAAAGATTGCGCGCGTGAGTGAGCGGCAACAAAGCGCACAAATCCAGAAGACATACAGCTTCCGCCGCAGTAGTAGGCGCCGCCACCGCGCCGCACCACCAACGCGCGCATCGACGCAATACGGGACAAACTGCAATTTAATTTTCATGTTTTCTTCTTTTACACCGTTTCTTTTATATTGGTCTGTCTGGTACGAACCGGTAGCGCTTGTGTGTTTGGTTTGTATATATGCCCATGTGTGTGTGTGTGTGTGTCATGGAGTACATAGCTCACACTGCGCCAAATTGCAATCGTTTATGCGAGTGTGCTTCGCGTGTGTGGGAGCGCGTTTGTTGTAGTCTGCGATGGTGGGTTGGAGACGTGCGCGCGGGAGCGCCGGCCGGTAGTGCGCATGTACCGGCAGAAAACCACGAATGCAGATGTACAACATACGATGTTCGCATTTCACATAGACTTTTTGTTTTGTTTCTGCATAATATGGACAAACTGACTGTTGCTCTGAACACATTACAATGTAGGCGTAGTCGCTGCGGACGTTAACGCCAACGCGGACGCCGCCGGTAAAATGATAACGCGTGCAGACAGACAGCCACTCGTATGTATGTATATATACCCACAGCTTATTGCTATTGTGATGCGCCGGGCCAAGCGCGCTCTCATGCAAGTTTGTCGGTATGTGCGGCGCTTGTGCTTTTTGTGAGTATCTGATAAGCGGTAAATGCGCGCAATTTCAATTTTGCCAGTACTTGGGCGCGACAGCAAGCAGGTGTGAGTTACATACTTAAAAAAAAATTGATGTAGGTTGATAAGGGCAGTGTGTGTGTATATGCTGCCGGCTAGACAAAATACTATACACACTACATGGGAGGTAAGTTTTTAAAATAAAATAATTAATTATTGTAAGAAAGTACAGCAAAAATCATGAAATGAAAAATATAAATAAAATATATGAATCAAATAAAAAAAAAATAAAAATAAAATATATGAATCAAATAAAAAAAAATATTAATATTATAAGGTTTAAAAATAAAAAAAATTTTAATATTTCGTGAGTTAGAAAAATAATATGCAAAAGTATAACATAAACATTTAGTTGTATTTTGATTTTTTTTTTTAATAAAAAATTAATAATTTGCCCAAATGGTTCACTAAAGAGATTAATGATAAAATATATGAATATAAAAAGAAAAAATTAAATAAGAAATACCAAAATAAAAAAGTTAAAAAAAAACTTAAAGATGGAAAAAAATATAAAATAAAATAAAAATATTTTAAATTATATTATTATAAAATAAAGAGATTATTTAATATTATAAGTATGAAAAACTAAAAAAAAAATATGAAAAGATGTATCCTCAAATTTTTAAATTAAGGTATTTTTAATTAATATTTACCTAATATGAACTTATCAGTATTCGAATCTTGTATTGACCTCTGCATTTTACAATTAAATTTTAAGAATCCGATAATTTTTATGTTACATAATTTTATGAATTGTAAATTTTGCTACTTATCCGAAACATTATTTCGCTAGCCACAACTCGTGTTGCATGCAACATTTTGCACTTAAAAGCAGAGGAGAAGTATGCCGCACAAACAGGTGCAGTCAACAGCACTGCGCAATAAAACCAAACGACCCGCTTCAGCCAGGCAGTCAGTCAGTCAGCAAGTGCAATGCACTTGGCACGTCTACCGTCAAGCACATACACACACACGCACACTTGCAACACACCAACCGCCACTATTTGCAACATTACCTACTTCCTACAGCTGAAGCCACTACGGCGTTGATATTTGTATGGGCTGCTCCATATACTTGCTACATAGCGCAGACTTGCAACATAAAGGAAAAGAATTTCAAGTGGGTACATTACGGATTTACTACGTACGCCCAGATAGATAGCAAATAAATTGTGAAGTATAGCTGGAAAAAAAGTTGCATAGAAAGATAGAAGGAGGAGCGGGTATACTAGCGACCATTATTAGGCAGTGCCAGTCGTCATGGTAAATGGCCATAGTACTTGCAACGCCTGAAGTGTTGTCGTTTAAGTCAGTCGCTGGTGGAGACGGCTAAGCTGGCGTGTCGCGTAAAAATGCACGCCAAACTCCCTCCCCCCATCAGAGTTGAACACGTGATTGAAGTAAAGTATTTATGAGAGTAATTATAAAAAGCTGGAAATTAATGCTTAGAAGTTGAGGAAAAGTGACAGCATGCTTTTTTATTTTTTATTTAAAATTAATGAAATTTCAAATATACAGTAGTTTTAATAAATAAAGTTTCAAAGCTTTAAAAGCAGAACAAGCAGTCAAAATAGGGTGTTGCCACTATGAGTGATTTTTTATTTTATTTTTTGCTTGCAACCGGCACTATATTCTTACATATATACATACAAATGCATATATAAAATGTGGTGTTCCTCATCACTGCGGCACAGAGCAAACGCCGAAATTTCTACAATCGAAAATCTATTATATATATACACATATGTGCACAAAATACTATATACATATATCTATGCTTAAATATACATTTTTGTATGTACATATTTGACGCGCATCACCACTGCGCATGCTCCATTTGCGCGCCAAGTGAACACACCCAGTAGAAAAGAGCGCTCATACGAGCGATGTACGCAAGAGAGCAGCGGCACAGCATGTACCTATATACATAGTAGTACTTTGGCATAGAGGCCAAATAAGGAAAATTCTCGAAACAAAAGCATAACTGGCAAAAATAACAATGACAACACAGTAAAAATGTTTCGCAATAATTAGAAGGATATGATAATGACGGCGAAGAGCGCGCGCTGATAGCCTTATATGGAAAGAAAAATTGGTAGGTACATAAAAAAGTATATATGCTGAAAACAGCGCAAAATGTTGCACAGCGGCAAAAAGTGGGCGCGAAATTATGGACGCAAAAAAAGAAGCCTATAAAATGCGCAACAACAACAAATCACTTTTGAATTTTTTTGCGCCTATAAACTATTTACGAGTAAGCACATAGCTACTAATATATCGTAAAAAATATGTATGTACATACAAATAGCTGTAGTTGTATGATCGGCCTTGTGGTGCAAGCCATTGCCTCGGCTATACACATACATACAAACATACACATGTTAGTGTGGGTGTCTTACGACAGTTGGCCAACATTTTAATAGTATTTTGGTATTGATTTTTGATATGTAAATATATGTATATGTATATGCAACGTGCTGTGGCGCCAACTTTCTCAACTACCGACCAACTGCCAAGTGGCAATTGCTGCCGTCACTTGGTAGTAAATGGGCGGCACTAAGTGGGCGGCGGTAAGCTGATTGTTTCCAACTGATATTTTAGCACACACATACACCTGTACATATGTATGTGTATGTCGTATGTGTGTGTGTAGACACACTTGAGCGCGGAAGTGCAAAACTTGAGCAGCGTGGAAATGAAATCGCAGTTAGCTGCATTTGCGGCAGCAATGTGAACTACTTTAGCGAGTTCAAAAAACTGTTAAATGACTGCGCGAAAAGTGCAAAAAAAAATAAATAAAAATATAAAAGATATACTATATTAAATATATGACGCGCTGGCACATAAAACAATATTATATAGGGTGTAAAGTATTAGATTACCAGTTACAACCTGTTTTATAGCGCTTGGAATCAAACACAGCACAGAGTCACGCGGACGCCACAAACGTCATTTCACATTGTTGTGAAATTATGACAAAGCACTGTTTACAATTAGATGGGTCAGCTGGCAGCGAGTTTGCCAACTTTTCGCATTTTCTTTTCGAATAAACTCAACCACTATACTAATACACATTAATTCTACAAAAATAATTGCTTTGTGCTTTGCACTTACCGGAATCGGAGGGTGTAAACGCCGAGCTTGATAGATCATCCATGCCTTCCTTGCAGCGCGTGTAACTGTGATCGCTGTGACAGTGCGCTTGTGTGGCGTGTAGACTCATACTCGTTTGGCTGGAGGCTTGACTCGGTACCGGCGATGTGCGTCCATATGACAGTTCGCCGTCAAGCATTGACGACGCTGAACCATAACCGGAATTGGCGGTGCTCTCTTCATCCTCATCCGATTCACAATCGGAAGAGGTTGCCATTTTATTAGAGTACATAACGGATTTGTGCTCATCACGCATTATAACATCGAGCACTTCGTGAATGTCGGGGTGATCGGAGGTGAGACGTGTATTTATTTTATCCTTACTCGTGTCCTGCAATTCTTTGCTAATGTTGTCGATGATGCCAGCATTCAGGGAGATATTATTGCTGCCCATCATGCAGGCGCGCAAATCGATGTTGGTCTGTTTGAAATCGGTGGCTTCGTCATCTAGGGATGGTGGAGTCTCCGGCAGCTCGTAAGCCATGGTATCGAAGGCTGTTACAACACCACTGTTGTTGTTGTTATTGTTGAGTGTGTTCGATCTGTTGTTGTTGGTGTTGCTGCTGCCCGACAAATGTAATGTGGAAAGTTTATGTTGCAATTGTTGATGTTTCTGCAATTTGCGCTGTTGTTGTTGCAGCTGTTGCTGCGACACATTGGATTTGCGCAGTAGCGATGTACCAGGCGGTATATGTTGCATACTTTGTGCTGACGACTGCTGTTGTGACGATGTTGTGGCATTGCGTACATTTGGTATGCTATGTTGTTGCAATTGTTTCTCGTAATCATCGTTCGGTTCCATTTTGACTTCCCGCTTTACCTCAACATATTGTTGTTGTTGTGTTGGCTTTTGAGCGGCCTGCATTTTATGTTTATTATTGTTGGCAATAACAACAGTTGGCGCTGGCACTTGTGCGGGCTTGGCTGTGACAGCCGACAACGGTACAGCGCGTGTTACTGCCAAGTCGCTACCTGTCGAGGTAGCCGAGGTGCTTAACTCTGTCTGCGATTGACCGGACCACATGCAATCGCTGTTGCGTATCTCGTTCTTAAATGAACAGTAATCGGGTGTACCGCTGATGGGCAAATCATTGCCGTTATCCATTTTTTGTATGTCACCCCAAATGGTATTGCCCCAAACGGGTATTAGATCCTCGAATAGTTCACTGGGATCGGGGCGAATGATAGAGTAGTCCTCTGAATGATCGGGCAGGTAAAGGCTACCCAAAATGGGTGAGGTGCCGAATGTGCTGCAAATTTTGGCCATTTTTGATTCGTTTTCAAATGGGTCAAAATCAAAAATGGTGTCGAAAGTTTCTTGTTCTTGTACTCGTTGTGGTATAATTTTACTGCTTGTCGAATACACTTTGGAGGTAGAAAATGTTGACTTACGACTTGTAGAGCAAGTAAGTGAGCTGAAACGAGAGAAAGCAAAAATCAGCATTCTGTGAATATTATGTTGCAATTATTTTTTATTTAAATTTAACCAAATTTTAAAATTAATAGCTTAATAATTATTAATAAACGACTTTCACTAAGCATACATCCGTAATATACGTTGATCTTTCACTGAAAGCTTTTTTACAGAAAAGGAAAAAACTTTTGCATACAATATACGCCGAGCCGAACTGAAAGCTTTCTGATATGGAACTTAAAAGCTTTTACATGCACTAAACTATGAACTTTCACTACAGAATATGATGAGCTTTCACTGGAAGCTTTCTTATTTGAAAACGAAAAACATTGACAAACAATATACACTGAGCTTTTACTATAAGCTTTCACAATTGTAACATTTAAAAATTGGCCACAATCTTCTCAAAGTTTACATTTCGAATTGTAATTCCCTGTTATCGATCACTATTTGTTTACATATTTCCTTTATCTGAGCTATGTGAGAATATTGATTGTGTTATTAAACAAATATCAGATAGAGACAATTTACTGTGAATCAGCTATGAAATTCCACGAAATAAATAAGCGAATATAAAATAAAACCCCTGTTGGGTATATTACGCAAACATCTATATACGTACATTTTATTCCATACGAAGGTGTGTTAGAAAAGTGTGACTTGGTAATTATAGCAATCACGACTATATGTATGTGAGTATGTATGAGTCTAGTCACAGATAAAGCCAATAAATGTGGCAGTAAGTATATGGTAAGACTTGAAGCCGGTAGGCAAATACCCTGCAGGAAACAAAACCGAAGTTAATTAGAAAATTTGTTTAACCGAAAACATGGAACTGTTAGTTAAAAGTAGCGGTAATCAAATAAAAATATACGAGTAACCAACGTAAAATAATTTTTTAAGATTATACAAATCTCAGATTTTTATATTATTACCTGCAGGGTTGTAACAACACTGTACAGTTTTTACCTCAACTTGGCAATAATATTGGGAAAAAACCCAAACTATCTTGGAATTCCTTACAAGCGATTAGTTTCAGTGGCGGGAAGTGTGTTCAACGTATCAGTCATACTGTATTAAGTGGCGCCACAAACCAGTTACTATGCGCCAAACTGCGAAACAGTAATCAAATCGTCATTTAATAAACGACATCAATCAGAGAACAAGCGAAACGAATCAAAACACATACATACATAAATACATACTATAAATTATACAATTATTCGAACTTGTGAATTGATTTTCAAAATGAATGCATATTTCTTAAAATCAATGAAAGCGCAATTTATGGCCATTATAAATTATAAATAGATAAACTACCGTAAATAGTTGTAGTATATTAACCGCTTTTATAATTGTTTTTATAATAATCAAAAAGTTTGCGACAACTGCCCGCGAGTATATGAGCACCACTACAACCACATCAACACTAATTGGTCAGCGCACTAACCAGTGATTAACTCAGAGCTTACTGAATGCCGGGTGGCGGACTGCACGGTTGCTTATACCAAAATCAAGAAATGCAATTATTTCGACTAGTTTTCCTTTTCAGCATTCTTCACCACGCCTGTATATGTATATGCATGTAGTATTCGTTGTTACTGCATTTTTTATTTTCATTTTCATTGTATGTTATTTATAACACTTGCTACAACTGGCAAGCGCAACGCCATATTTTCTCTGCTGTTTGTTTTGATCGTGCACAATTTAGAACAAAAACCTATTTGTGTCGTAAGAGACAAACGCGGCGTGTGAGTATGATTTGGCGAAATGCGCGATAAATCGATGAGTGCAACAACAAAATGTCTACAAGAAATGCAATAGCAAATACACACAACAATAAAATAGAAAGCAGATTAAATATTATTATTTTTTTAATGTTTATTACTTGCAGGTGCTCCACCTTGTTTATTTGCAAAAGAAGAGAACAAATATTGTACAATGTAAATTACAGCAACAAAAACTAGCCCAATGGGCTTATTATAATTGACGATTTTATGAATGAACCGTTATCATCAACCAGGAAGTCGGTAAGGTTGAGTAATAAATGAAAAATTATATAGACAAAAGTGAATAAGTATGCACACACAACGATTAGGCGCACAGAAATCAGCAGCCAGCAAATATACACGATATAAAATGTAGGCAGCCAACACCGAAACTCAAAGGCAATTGATGTATGCGAAAAGTATGACATATTTTTATTTTCATTTTATTTCTTTCGCACATAAACACAACCGGCACCGGCGCACACCGACGTTAACAGAAATGTTGATTTCACGTTTGGCATAAAAAATGAGCGCTAATCAGCCGGGTTGCCGGCCGGTATGCAGACTGTTTTGACATTTGCGACGCGTGTGCAAAGTGCAAAAGCAAGCAGCTGTAGTGATTTGTGGAATAATTGTATTAAAATTACTTATAAGGAATGCTTGCATATATATCTAAAATTATATATTTCACAGAAATCCGTATTGGTATGATAAAAAAAATTATAGAATTAAGATAAGAATTATATTTAATTGAAGACGCAAAAAATGTAAGTTAGATAAAAATTTATAATTATTTTACTGTAGAATAGAATTATAAAAGGCTTTTTTATATTTATGTATATATTTTTTACTTATTAAAACTGTTATTGTCATATTAAAATAGGCGAAAGTAAATTTTTTTTAATATTATATGTGTTTTTTTTTTATTTTGTATAAAAAGCAAAAAACGATAAGTACAGTTACTACGTAATAAAAAAATCTAACAGAAAATGCATAACACGTTAACGCATTCTATGCGCAAATCATAAATAATCATGAAAAATGAAAGTCTGGCACCGCTCTGTAAGCTAAAATGTAATGTAAATGGTAAATAAATGCACAGGTGTAGTAAATGTTGCAGTCACTCATAAAAAGTGTTAAGTAATTTTTACACATTCACCATTTATGTGAAACATACACCAAGGCTGTGTTTAAGAGACATTATAATATACACAAATTCTTTTTGCATAATAATTGCAAATTCGCTAAAATGACTATGCCCAATTGATATTCAAGCGCTAATAATGAAAGTTCTAATGCAAAATAGCCACACTCTGTCTGTATTTCAAAATTGATGACAAATTGCGCAATTCCGAGAATGTTCCGCAGGAGTCTATATAAATATGTAGAATAGACTAGTAGATAAAAAAAAAAAACATTTTCTATTCGCTAAGAAAAAGAACAAATTTTCGCTCGAACATACAAAACTTGATATTTCAAGCATTTGTTAGCAAATCGCTACAAGTTTATTGCGCAGCATTTAAAAATATTAAATGATATTTAACGTTATGCAGAAATCCAGTTGTTAAATTACTCATTCATATATTTTTTTTAATCTATGGCGATTTCCAAGAAAAAATTAAATTGCAACGCTGCATCATCAAAATAAACAAATGCAAGCAAATCTATGCACCTAAATTCGTTTCCCGCTCTTGAAGCAAAGCTGATGCCACAGCTGTAGCTGTAAGTTCACAGAAATTGTAATTGGAACGCAGAGGCACCCCCAGAGCAACGTCTTATTGTGCAATTACGCCTACAACACTATAGGCATGCCAAAGCAAAATTGGAAAATTTACAGCCCACACACGTCAGCGGCAATGTTTCTATTGTTATTGTTGCTTGCTGTTCATAAAAATTTGCAACTGCACGTAAGTTGGCGATATTAAATGATAGGCTTTATCATTATACATGCATATTAAACGTATAAACAACAAAAGAAAGGAATGCGCAAAATAACAGTAACGTTCTATATGTACATAAATATGCCTGTATATAGGTAAATAAATAATAAAAGTACGTCAAAATGATAATGATGGCGCTAAAAATTACTGCTGATGCCATACTACGTTTAAAAATTATAATTTAGGTCTGTCATTGCTGTAAACAAAATTTTTCGTTAATTTCTTAATTGCGTACAAAATTATTAATATCCAATACGAATAAAAATTCAAGAGCGAAAATTATTTTTTTTTTATATATTATCTAAAATCCTTAATCAATAATATTTTTTGTAAAAAAATTAAGAAAAAAAATTATTTAAAACAAAACTTGAAATTATTCAATGATTGCGTTTACAAAACGGACAAGACAAGAAGAAGAAAATGAAAAGCACAGTTATTTATTACAATTGACATGTTAAAGGTGCCATATTTTATGAGCAAGGGCAGGTGAGGAGGCAGTATAACAAAAAATGTACCGGTAACTTTAACAGAACAATGGCAAGACACTGCGTTAATTGGAGAAAGCAACAGAGATGTTAAAAATTGATTTCTAAGACATCTTAAAAAAAAATAAAATAAAACTACAGCTAATTAACTGATTTTATTCAATTAATTTTTTATGAGGCAAAATTGCATTGCAATTTTTACTCAATAAATAATTTGCAAAAATTGCGCCTAAATAATTTATATGCCTGGCATACTTATAAAGCTTCTCGAACTATTTGGCCATTTCAATTATTTATTTGTAAAATTTTTTTTTTTTTTGAATTCACTTTACCTTTGCTCAATTGTTGTAGAAATCCTTTTTTGTAGTAAAAAAAAAAACAGTAATTAGTAGTGGAGTACAGGTAAGTTTTTTGCAACTTAGTGTTTTGATTTTCCTTTCAACTGTTGTCCACCTTGTCAAGTGGTTTTTAAATTTACTGCAAAGAGTACACTTTTTCAAATTTATCAACCTAATAGGCGTAAGTTATTATATATTATAGTATTTTTTTATAGTCAATACACTTATTTCAAAACGAAATGTTCTTTCGCGCCTTTTGCACTCGTCAGGGATAACAATTAAAATAAAAAAAAATAAATAAAAATAGTACGCGTTGCTTGGACGACAGGAAGCGATTAAACACTTTATTCCCGTTTACTGTCACTTTGACCTTTGCTGGCGCAGTGTTGTCTGACAGAGTGTTTGTCTACCGCACAATTTTGGAAGGTAGGTTCTCGTTGCTGTTTTTCCTTCTAGAATTTGGCTTTTGCTTAGCCTCTGCCTTTTGTGCTTGTGTTCAGCTCACCACAAATGGCTCTATTGGAATTTGCGTTGAATAGTTTTGGATGCAGAGGAGGACTTCGGCTTAATCGTAGCGGTTCTTCCCTCTTTTTTCCTTTATTCAACTATTTTTCGTAGTTTTATATTCCAAGCTATTGTTGTTAAATGCCTTTCAAGGTCTCACTCTATGCACAAAGCAGGTAAAACAACAATATTTAAGTCGATTTTCGTAAATAGACTTGTTGCAGTAAATATTCTTGTGAGTTGTTTTTTGGAATTAAAATTGTCACACACGTTTATTGATTTTATTATTTGTTTGTTCACATTTAGACTTTGCCCACAAAAACTGTTATACAAATGGTGTAATAAAAGTATATTTGCACTAAGTTTCTTCTTTTGTTTATTATTTGCAAAGTTGCGAATTTTCGTGATTTTTAATGATTTGGTATTGTTTTCAACTCTATGCATGACAACAATTGCTCACAGCTTTTTGGACTTTTTTCCTGTGATTTCGCCGGCTTATTAGCTGGTGTTGTCGCTCAGAAATTATTGGTATATCACGTTTAAAATATATTTAGTTCTGCTAGAAATTTAATTGCTTGCGATGTGTAAGCTATTCACTGAATTTCTGCACTTTAAAAATTTCACGATATTTTTAGTTGGTTAGTTTTAGTGATTAGTAGAAATTTCTTATTTCGACTATTGCGCTTTAGTTTGGAATTTACACATAAAAACAAATCTTGCACGATTCTCTTAATTAAAAGAGTCAGCTTCCTGTTCCAGTTGAGAAAATATTACACAATATCGCCGAGGATATATCTTCATTATTTGATGATAATTAATTATTTCACGAATCCCGATTTTGATTTGATTTGAGCGCAATATATTCTTTGCGTTGCAGGTTGTGTGGTGGAATGATGTTGACTGTGTATGTCAACGTTGGTTTTAAAATATTTCAGTTGTAGTTGTTGTTGTTATATAATGGTGGTGTATTAGCATAACCGCTTAAAAAATGCTCTTATGAATTTTTATAATTTTCACAAAACCTCTCGGGTATATGTATAGCTGGCAATAGTTATAGGTAGTTGTCCGACGAACGTTTCTTGGCGATTGCTACAAGAATTTTGTGACCATCGTCTTTCGCTTTCAAAATGAAATTGAAGTCAGAACGACGTAAAACAAATACCCACGGGTAGCGATGATAGCGGTGACAGCTGTTACAGCAACGGCTAAACCACACGACGCATAAACGCGGCGAACAGGCTCAAAGCGTACGAACGAATGAAGAACGTTGATAGAGTGTTTTGTGTCTTTATTAGCACGCCTGAACAAGAAAAATCGGCAAATGAGTAAATGAGTAAATCAGAGTGTAGCGCCATCGTTGTGATATTTTTTGGAGAGCGCTTTTCGGCGAGCGTAGGATATCTTGAACGAGGGTGTGATAGAGCAACGCTGTAATGTGCGTTCATACATACATATGTAAAAGTATGTAGTAGACTTTGGGTGGTTATTCAGTATGCTATTTTCGTGTAAAAATTACTCTTTAAACAAAAGTAAACATATTTAAAAATTAGCTTTATTCAATAAAATAATATTAATATAATTTTGTTTAATACACAATGGTAGGGTGGCAATGTGATTAAGAATGCTGTTAATTGAAATCTAAATATTTTTGTGTAATAGAAAATAGTATTTTCAGCTACAATACTCGTTAGTACTGACTGAAGAATGATTAAAAAAAAAAAAAAAACTAATTTGGACTATATGTATGTATATAATTAAATTAATAAATTCAATTCTACATGTAATTTTTTTAGTCACATGCTATTTTGAATCTCTGTGATAATATGTTATACGGATGTAGAAAAAACCAAAAATATCAATATCACAATAATCACGAAACCTAAGTACATATTCTTTAGATTTATAAAATATGCGCGCAGATGGAAAGGTGAAAAGAACAAATTGGATTTGCTGTTATCTCTGAGTTCTTGAGTATTTTTACATTAGTATGCAGAATATACCTTTACATAACAAAAAAAAATAAAAATATTGACGAATACCACTTTCGAACATTATCAATTTTTTAAAAAGTAGTGTGTATACAGCAATTATTATTAAAAAGAAAACATTAAAAGTCTAAATAAGCAAATCTTGAACGAGAAAATAACGCTTTTGAACAGAACATATACAAGATGTATATATAACAGGTCTGAGAAAAATTTAGTTATCAGAAATTATACTTTTTCTCGTGCTAGACGCAGCAATACTTCTCCCATTAAAGTAAATCAAATTTATAAATTTGAGTACGAGTAAAAAAAATAACTAAAATAAGAGAGAATTTTCAGTGTACTCAACTAGTTTCCACTCAATTTGAGCGCGGAAAAACTCTTCTACACGCGAACGATTAAACTCATATTGCTCTCTTTAAGGAAATCGCTCAGCAAATGTCTTTTTATCAGCGTCTCGAAGCGTTTGCTCTCGCTGCAGCTTTGCCGGCAAACACCAACAAGTTTGGCTTATTACGGTTTTGTTTTGATTTGCATTTTCCTCTACGAAAAGAAACAAAACGAATTTAATTGTTTATCTGCAAATGCGCTTTTGGAGTATGTAGCATTTTTTGCAATTTGTGTTTTGACTTGCACTATTACGAGTTTTATTTGTAAACAAACCTATTTCTCACGCTGCTTCAGCCGTAGTGAATGTGCATAGCGAAATGCATAATAGTCAGAGTTAGAGCACTTGTGTACAATTTACGCTGCCCAGCAGGAAAATCCGGCACTTGTGGAAGATTATTTCAATTCATAACTTTGTCGGTAATGCCTAGCTATAATTTAATATACATATGTATGTGCGACCATAAAACTGAAAGCTTTTCAGCAAGACAATATAACAAAATAGAAAAAAATGCAATTATTACTATTATTAATTTAGTCTTCACTGCAAATGTGACAGAAATCCTAAATTGCAACTAACTAAGAGAAAACTTCCCAATAACTTATAAAAATTAAAATATCTGACCTCATTAGAATTTCATTGGACATAAAAAATAGGATCTAATCAAAACAGATTTTTCTTTAACGCTTGGCGAATCGAATACAGTTTTTAAAGAGTAAATAGCTTGCTATCTTAAAGCTAACCATAACCTGCTTACCCTATATCAGGAGAATCGCTCGCCGATTATATTTGGCAAAAGCGTCGCATTATTATAATAATAAAAAATTATTATCAATTTTTATGATTACACTAGTTTACAGTCATATTGCGACAACGATCATAAAGGCTGTTTCTTGCTAATTTTGGGTTGCTAAAACCGAAAATGATAGTAAAATTTTCCTAACGCGTAGGACTTTTTGTGTTGTAGTTAAGGGGTCAAACCACCATTATTTATGAAGGAAAAATTTTGAACTAAAATCCGTAATCAGGACATCTCAAATACCCCCACAGACCTCTTAACACATCAGTCGCAAATTTTTTCTTCATTTTTTTTCTAAAAAACCGCGTATACGGGAAATGTTTTACGAATCATTCTGAATAACTTTGCTTAAGAGAATATAGATCTAAAACCGGTTTCGAGCCAGCGATTTTTTGGGTGAATTTTAATTTTTCGGGATTATACAAATTTCTTCGCTTTTAGACCCATATTCTCTTAAGCAAAGTTGTTCAGAATTATCCGTAGAACATTTCCCGCATACGTGATTTTTCCATTTTTTTTGGTTTCCTGTAAATCAACCCGCTCTAAAGGTATATACTTACATATGTATGTATATGTTTCTTAATTAATGTTGACATGCTATTTAGGTTTATCAGTTACCGTTAAACGTAGTATATTTATTCCGATGCCACTTTACAGTCTAATCCTCGTATGCTTGACAGAGAAAGTAAATAAAAACAATTACTCATATTCATCTGCAGTCATGTTTGTATGTATTTGTGTGTGTATGTGTGCATTCAAAATAATTGTTGTACGCTTTGTGGCGAAATACTCAATACAATACAAGGCAAAGTGCATTTTATTCATTCATATTTATTATTCTAGAATACAAGTACATACGTACAGAGATAATGTATATATAAAGTCTCAGTGATAATTTCACTTATTAACAATGTTTTTCTATTGTGAAATCACCATTTGCAACTAATCATGACATTTTGTGAGGAAATCGATTTTTAATATGCAAATACACCAAATTAAATATATCGCTTAAAGCAAGCTTTGTTAGATGGATTAAACTTTGAGTAGTAGCGAATC